TATGCAAATTCCCAGCTGATAATTGTTTTCACAATCAGACCCAGAGGCATTACCATGGAGGAAGTAATTATAAAATGGTTAATTAAATGTAATTATAAAATGGTAAATTACTTTTTATATATCCTCATACATTGTTCAGTTATAACTTAATCTGTGAAGTACCGGAATAGTTGCCTCCCAAGTACACAGCACCCTTCAGGGAGACGTGGCTCAGCAGACAGCAGCCACTACATTGTTTTAAACTTTGCAAACTTAAGCTCACGGATGTTACAGTTCACCACCTGGTTCGTCTTCCAGCTCTGTGGTCAGTGTTTAAGGCTGTGGAGTGGACTTCTCAAAATCGTAGTCTAAACATCCCTGCTTGGTTCTCAGTGTGCTGCCCACAAGAATTGCGTCCAGATTCTCTGAGGAGTCAGCACAATGGCGTAGGCCCTGTGAGTGGAGCAGGTGGAGGACAGGAGGAGAGAATGTGTCTTCCCATGTGCTGGCAAAATGCTACCCTTTGAAATGGGATATCTGGGAAAGCCAACCAGATACTGAAAGGTAAAAAAATGTGAGAAAAATTTTTGGTCTTACTTTATTAAAAGATATATTCCACATCTGAGATGCAATTGTGCATAGTACAAAGCATGAAGACCATTGTAGAATGGTGGAGCTAGCGACTCACACTCTGACTTTTGAAATGACATCCTGTACTTCTGGTCTAAAATTTAGAATGCTAAGTAATATGCATATTTCAGATTTTAAAAATGGTTACTTTTGTTGTGTAAGTCCGAATAGGACATAAGCATTCTTAAACTAAACAAATTATTCACCATATATCTAAAATTCAAAACTAACTGGACATCCTAGTATTTAACTTGTTAAATATAGCAGCCTTATTCTGGTTGCTATAGTAAATGGTATCTTTCCATCATCACACTTCCAAAATGGTTATTGCTAGAAAAAGAAAACACAGATAGTTTTGTATTTATGAAGACCTTACTGAATTCTCTCATTAATTGTGTGGCGTTTTAAGGTACACAATCCTATCTTTGGCAAATAATATTTCAGCTTTCTGTCCTAATATTCTTAATGGTTCATTTCTTTTCCTTATTGATTTTCAGGGAATAAAAATATAGAAGCTGAGTTAAATAATACTGAGAATAGTAACTGTCTTTGTGAAATCTTGCATCTCCAATTAACCGTGCACTTCAAACTCCTATCTGTCACCTGTCTCAATTTCTAAACCAAACAGCTAGGACTCCCATCCCACATTCTGTGAAAGTTCCCTCCTATTGTGCTGCTCCTAAGGATTCCAGGGATTATATTTCCATGATGGTTTCATCTCATTTCTACATTTCTCAGTCTAAATACTTCATCATGGTTTTTCCTTTCACGCTTGTCCTCTTTCCTACATATTTTAAAGGAGTCATAATAGAATTTATCTTAAATACTAATAGCCACCGGAGGAAGTTTATAGTGAGTGAGTCTGAAAAAAATTAAAATTCACCAATAGGTGTCACTATCTGTAATGCTGCATATAGAATATCTCCTGAGTCATTTCTCTTTCATTATATAGACAAGTGTTATGGTTTGTGTCTAGATGCCCCCCCACCCTAGAGGTTAAAGATGGAATTTTTTCAGAAGTAGCTAGATCTAGAATGTGTAACTGTGGAATTGATTCATGGTATAATGCTAGGATTAAAGGCACTAAGATTAAGAGTGTGAGTACTATCTTCCCTGAGTAATCTGGATAAAATAAAATGGGCAGAAAAATGCTGGTAAAATCCCTTGCTAGCTTCGTTTGCTACCTTTTGGGTGCCATGAACCGTTTCTCCTCTGCGATGCCTGTCTGCCATCCACCCAGCCTTTTAGCCAGCTGATTATAGACTGAAACCTCTACAAATTGTGAGCTAAATAAACCTTTCTCCCTCAACTTTGGATGTTGGGCATTTTGTCTCAGCAGTGAGAAAAGTAACTAAGACAACAGTTATTCCCCAAACCATTTTACTTCTTGCTTGAGTATACCTAAAAAATCTTTCATATCTCACTACTTTCCTCAAGCATGGGAAGATCTCAAATACATGTGGCAATTTTTGTGTAAAACTTTAGTGTGTACAACAAACTTTGTGTATCCATTAAGAAGCTAGTTTTGCTCAAGGGCCATCTTCCAGTTTCTCTATTAGCAATGCAAAGTGCTGGCCAATTGTGAAATGACAGATTTTTGTTTAATTTGGGCAAGATCAGATTCTGAAGCAGTTTCTCTTCTGGGAATGGGATGGTAATTGGTAGATGGGTTCTCCTTCCATTTTAAAATTCTTTTGCTCCTGACTTTCATGCATCTTTGATTACTTTTTAGCATTTAATTATAAACTAGGCTGTTGGCTTATAACAAATAATTTTGTTATGTTAAGAGAGTTCTTGACAGACATGATGTTGAATTTTATCAAACTACTTTCTGATTCATAAGGACAACCAATTTTCACTTACTACCATCACTGATTAGTTTGTGTGTTAAATGATATCACTATATTACCTGATACTAAATCATTTTACTTTTCTAGAAAATATTGTGCTAACTCTATTCTTTTAATAAAACACCTAAACATTCTAACACACTACTAGGGCTCCTCTGATAAAGCCGTATTTGTCATACTATTCTAAATAATTCAACATCTTTAAATTAAAAGTCCTCCATCAAACAGCTAAGGAAGCCTTTTCTAGGAACGATACACAAAGCCTATTCCCGTACGAAAGTCTTGGAGAACTACAAGTTTTAAATATCCATTTTCATTTTTCAAATGATTAAAATTAACTGTAGAATTGAGGAGAACCATTATTTTTCTTTTTCATAAGTTTTGAATTTGTGTCAATAAAATTTATGATTTCATAAATATTTGGAAGAACTTTTCAGTTAAACTTTTTGTATACAGTGCGGGGGGGGGGGAGAGAGAGAGAGAAAGAGAAAGAAAAGAGAGCGGAAAGAGATTTATTCCTTGAAAATTTAAAAATATTCTCTGTTGCTTTTAGTAGCTTCTGGTTAAAATTCAGTTTCTAGTTTCTCTGGAGACAACTATGGGAAGTCTTATTTTCAGAGAACGCATCCATCTTAGTGTTTATAGGGATACATAGAATTATGTATACAATACAGAATTGTTTGTAGCTTTCAAGCATTTTATTTATGTGTCTATAGTTAATCCTCTATTATTTCCCCAAATGGCCATTTCCTTTAATTTTACCAATACCTCTAATCCTACCTCCTTTCAAAAACACTTTTAGCAAATGAATTACTCCCTGACACTTAAGGAAGATAGATGCTAATGAGAGACATATCTACTACATTAACTAGTAGTAATTAAATATTTTAATTGCTTTCATTATTGTCTACACATTATTGTCTCTATTCCTAATGTCTTTCTATAGTAAGTTATTTAAATATTTTTTAGACTCTTGCTTTCAGAGTGGGTCTAACGACTCCTTGGGAATGTGCTGAACTTTGTAAGTTGTTTCTAACAAATGGAACAGAGGAGAAGTGATGTTCCTTTCATGGTCAGCTAATGAAATGTATCTTCTGTCTTGAGAGAATATTCCTTTCCTCTGAGATCCTTTGCTTGGGAGTTGATCTGACATGAGAAGTTCCATAGAAATGTCCAAGTGGGAAGATCTAAAGCCTCCTGCCTAACATAAAAATTTAGATACTGAACCATCAGCCCCAAATAAGTCTTTCAAGGCTGAACTCCAGCAGGTAGCTTGACTAAAAACTCAGGAGGGTGAGGAAGAACCATCTAACTAACAGTTTGCAGTGTCTTAAGATGTGGAATCTGTGTACAGCAATTAAATCCCAGTTTTCAACTACTACTAAGAAGTTGGAAGAAATACATAATTTATGTAAGAACACTTATCACCTTACATAACAGACATTCTTCTAGGTTAACACAGAAGTACAGGTCCTGGTTGACTTGTTTGATTGTCAGGAAACTTCACAATTCCTTTTTGTTTTTTTCTTTCTCTCTTTTCTTTATGTCTCTGTATCCTTGGCATCCTAGTTCTTAGAAAGGCTCTCTTTAGGGTTGTGACATTATCGATGCAATTTTAGGTTTTAGCAGTAGCTAACCATCTCATAGGCAAAATGATCCTGCATCATTGCTCCTTTTAAAACAAGTACCCTCAGATTGCCTCTAACAGCTGGTTTAGCATCGCCTTGGTTTAGGTTTTATCAGGTACCTATGTGTTATTGATTAAATCTTAAAGTTTCCTAAATATTCCCTCAGTGAAGATTTGCTCCAGTCCCCAGCTGATGAATTATTAGAAGGTGGTGAACATGCCTTTGAAGGATATTTGTGAACACAGCACCTTCTCACTTTTGTTTCCATGAGATGAGGAGCTTTGCTTTCCCACATACTGCTGGCCGTGTTCTTTTGCCTTTCCATAGCCCCGAAGTAATGTGGCTAAATAACTATGGACTGAAACGTCTTGAACCATGAGCCAGAATAAATTTTTAAAAAATTCATTATCCTAGGTATTTTGCCATCACAATGAAAGGTTGGTCACTATTCTAGGCATAAAGCAATTCCTTGCTAAAAGGTAAGGGACTTACATGATCAGTTGAAAATAAACCTGCTCTGGCCCTGAATCAAGGCCGGCAGCTTTCTGATGCTGTTGGTTTCAAGCAGAAGCCTAAAGAGATGTCTTTTCTATGGTCTGTTGGCCATTTCAGACCTTGGGCAGTGAAATAGTCAATTCATTAGAAAGATCAGCGACACCCCACACCACCCCTTCTGTAAGTGGCTGTGAGCCGGTGTTTCCTGGGACCCGCGCCTTGCTGGGACCTGGAGCACTGGGAAACCAAGCACCACTCCTCCATGCGCCCCACCTGTTTTGTTTTGTTGAACTTCAGTATACATGAAAGTATGGACAACTATTTTGAAGAGAACTAGAGACTCTGCAACACCATTAGTGACTTCCCTATTGTCTGGTTTTGAAGTCCTAAAATGCCTTCCTCATTCTGTTCAGATCAGTTTTTTTTTTTTGACAGACTTTATTCATTTTTATTTCTCTTGTGTAAAAACCCTTATGTTGTAGCTACTGCTGGAGCTTGAGTTCTATGGACAGAGAGATTCTAGTGTGGGTTTTCACAAGATGGTCGGTGAACTCCTGATAGGGAGACTTTGTGAACACAGTCTCTTTCCAGAGGTCAGGGGTCAGGTAGCTGTAGGTCTTTGAGATGGCATCAAAGGTGGCCTTAGCGAAGTTGCCCAAAGTAGCAGTACAGCCTCTAGCAGAGGTGTAGCAGTCATCAATACCAGCCATCATCAGCAGCTTCTTGGGCACAGGGGCTGAGACAATGCCAGTGCCTCTGGGGGCAGGGATCAGATGCACTAACACAGAGCCCCAGCAGCCTGTCACCTTGCAAGGGACTGTGTAGGGCTTGCCAATCTTGTTCCCCCAGTAGCCTCTCCGCACAGGCACAATGGAGAGCTTGGCCAGGATGATGGCCCCAAGAATGGCAGTGGCTACTTCCTTAGAACACTTTACACCTAGACCAACGTGACCTTTGTAGTCCCCAATGGTGACAAATGCCTGTGAAGAGACTGTAAGGTAGCTGTGGTTCTCCATAGGATAGGTACCCATCAGTTTCATAGTATGCTGTTTTGTGTGAAATCTCTGTTTGCAAAGACATGGGCAACTATTTGGAAGAAAACAAGACAATATGATACACTGAAGATCTCAGGTTATCTAGCTTTGAAATTTATATCTCTTACATTTCTTTCTTATGTCCTATTTTGTTCTGTTTTGTTGTGTTTAATTTTATTCCCTTTAATATAAAAAAAGAAAATGAACCTGCTTTACTCAAGATATTTAACTGTTTCATAATTATACATTTTAGCTGATGCTTATAGTCATATTATGCTGATGTCTGTGTAAATGTATTATGAACTTACATTACTATTCCTGGTAGATATTTTTCTTTTTATTGCTTTCAGTCTCATTTGCAAAGTCACAGGTTGTCTTGTTTGCTTAGGATTCCCCAATATCCACCCTGTTTCTTTCATATTCTCTATGCATTTAACGCCTGTTAGAGGTGTGCAGTGTTGTCTCACATCAATGAGGGATGCTTGTAAAAAATGATTCAGAAGGAACATGAGGTAAGTTTTAAATTTCCATTATGTGGAATTATATGTTTGATTAGTTTAAAACTTAATAATTAATGAATTAAAATGAGAAGTACTCATAAATGACACTAGTTTCATAGCATCTAGCTAACTAATGCCCAGTAGAACTTAATTTTTATACTAAAGTTATAAAACTTAACATAGGCAGTTACATTGACCTGCCAGTCAAAGTCTTTGTGTGTGTGTGTGTGTGTGTGTGTGTGTGTGTGTGTGTGTGTGTATCATGGCTAAAATGGCCACACTATACTGTGACAGAGAAGTGCATTTACCTGAAGATGTACATGTTGATAAAACTGAATGGAAATCTGACAAAATTAACTAGTGTGTCTACTAAAGACAAATACCTCTTTACTGCTTTGGAATTGACAACCTTGCAATGTAATTAATCTGAGAGATGATGAAAGAAAAATTTGATATGTAATAACTCGTTTAGTATAATAAAATATAAGCCTTATATTCAGCCATATCATGATATTACTAGAATTTTCCTATGCTGTCAAATTCTTGGACATTTTTGGAGGTGTGAAAATCCAAGGTCTTTTCATGATGCTATGCTTTTAAATATCCAGACACGTGATGGACTTGAGTATACCATTTCTCCTCATAGTGTGCATGTATACTCTAGTACTATTTATGTGCTAGTTTTATTTTCATTCAATGATGGAATATATTAGTTGTATTTTTCCTACTAATGCCACAACTAATACTTACAATTCTATGTTGTTTTCAATGTTTATATTTCCATTTGATGTATTTGTCTTTTTATCAAAAATAAAATTATTCTGCATTTACCCTCCTATACATTATTTTATTTGGGCAATAGTTACTACTTTATCTTACACTGTTAATTTTTCTGATTCATCAGTACATTTCTAAAGCATGCAGTAAAGTGAAAATTTAAAAACAAAACAGTAAAGAAAATATGTGAAAAATTATTAGAAAGTCTTTAAAATCTTAAATTATTGAAAAAAATACCAAAATTCTAGTTATAAATTACCAAAACAGCCATAATGATGAAATATCTAAACTTGAAGTGGCCAAAGCTTTCCTCAAAAGAAAGTTATAGTTTCAAATACAACATGAATAAGAAAATATGAAAACCAATAAGGTTTCACTTCAAGAGCTTAACAGAGAAAAAAATAAATCAATCCCAGGAGAACAAAAGGTACAGCAGTTACAGAGATATAAGTTGAAATAGCATATAAAAAATTAGTATTCTGATACTTCCAATATCTAGTTCTTTCAAAAGGTCTACAACACAGATGAATTCTGGGAACGGTTTATTAAGGATAATGAAAAAGAAAAAAAAGGGAACTCTGTTAAAAGGAAACATATTAATGTTTGTGGCTTTTTAAAATTTGAAATTTAGAAGAAATAATATAGATTTAAAGAAGAGATATTTAGAGCAGAAATTATAAGCTCATAAATAGCACTTGAAAAGCAATTTGGTCATAATTAATTGTCAAATCCAAGGAAAATTTTGATATGTCAATTATTTTTTGATTAGTTTTATATAACTTAGAGAATGAAGGAAAATGTCCCAATTAACTTTATAAATTTAGTATAATCCCAGTAATAAAATCCAAGAAACCAAGCATGTGTATTTAAAGACTTCCCAAATCAAGTTTTGAGAAATTTAATGTAAACTGTAAGAAAATTAAATGCAGTACCACTAAGTAGGATTTACTATTTTAGGAATTCAAGAATGGGTCAGTCATTAGAAATGTATGGCACAAATTACTATATACATACTCAAAGTTTTAAAAAAGTCAAAAGTATATGATAGATGCCAAAATTCTTTCAGTATAATTTAACATGGTTTTAAAATAAAACTTGTAACATTAAAATAAAGATATTTTAGCAAAGAATGAATGGGAAGACAGCCAGTGGCCATGGCTGCTGAGCTTCCTCCTTCCTCTTTGGCTAAGGCTTAGTTATTTTTCAACTTTTTCACTTCTGAGGAGAACTACAGTTGTGATAATTTTTTTCTTTGTTTCTGTTTGTTTTTCAGAACTGGAGCCTGAGCTAGGGCCCTTGTACTGAGCTACAATCACTCAAACCCTGCTTTCGTTTTATTTTGCTATAGGGTCTAGTTAAGTTGCTAAATTTCTCAGGCTGGACCTAAACTGTTTTCCCTCTGCTTCAGCTTCCTGCAGAGCTGAGATTTCAGGTGGTGCCACAGGGGTGTTGTTATGAGCTAACAAACCCCACTGGTCCTCCCCTGTTTTCATGACTTCTCTAAAATGGTAAATGAAGGCAATATGGAATTGTAGATTCTAAGAAGTCTAAATTTTTCTAAGATTTTATACTGGAAATCTAACAAAAAGATAATGAAAAAAGCAACATGCTAGTGAAAATTGCCAAGTCATACATTTATTTATATAACCAAGGAAAGTTGAGTTTAGTTCCATTTTTTTTTAACAATTTTAGGAATTTAGGGATATTGTCTTGAGGCAAAGTTGTTCAAGGAATCTTAATTGCTTTTCATTTTAGTTGATGGTTTTTATTTTATTGGCTTAATAATAAAGTCTTTGAAGCACCTTTGAAACTCTTAATCTCATCCCTTATGGATGATGATAGAGTTAGACATGGTTTATAATAGAAGAATGAAGTGATCCATATATTAAATCAATTGGATAACAAAATCTCTTATGTTTTGGAAATTCATCTAGTTTACTCCAGTCCTTCAGACAAGGCTATAGATAATACAGGAATGACTTCGGAGGATTCCAGAAAGCCATTCAGAAATCCATAGTTATCCACTGATACTTTCATCACCTGTGTAACTTGGCACACATATTTGCATTGCTCCCACAGCTCGCTGATGTGATGTCTTAGCAGGAATCAGCCTCACAATCAGCTATAGGAGCTCATATGCCTGTGTGATGGCTTGGCACAAAGTCTGCAGACACTTGACCAATCAGTACTAATAAGTATCAGAGGCATAGAGAAATCAGATCACTTATGTTCACAAAATGAAGTTGCTACTTTGAGTTTTCTAATAAGCACTGTCTGTATTCCATTTGGTAAATCTGGTACCCATGGGATGGTTTTGGAGTTCACAAGACAATTTTCAGTTGTACTGTAATTTCCCATGCTATTTATATTTCTAGTCTACATCTTACCTGGAGATATAATTTTGTTTCACTAATTGCCTATTTAATTTGCTTGTCTCAATTTAACTGTTAATCTCATCCTTAAAATTCGTCCTTGTCCAGTTTGATGAATTATGTCTCCATCTTTTCAACTGCCCAAAACATTAGCTATTATTTTGAATATTTTGTTATCCTTTGGATTCAGTCCATCATCAAATTTCGTTGAAAACCCCATGTGTACAAGTTCAAGTCTTTTATTCAATCTGCTATTTAACTGTACCTCAGCTATAGTTTACTCCACTGAATTCTTCAAATACAGCATGCTTTTTATTATTTCCTTCATGTTATTCTTTCTTCTTGGAATATTGTGTCTATCTGACATCACATAGCTAACTGTTATCTCTACTCTCCTGATTCCGCCTTATTTTTTCCCTGTTATTGCGCATTACTCTTACTTACTGCTGGTACTTCTCCTGTGCCCGTAAACTCTTGGGGCTATACTTATGCCTATTTTAATCTGTTCTACTTTTAGTGTACATAACGGTGTCTGGGGCCCTGTATTTTTTATACAGAATTGCTAATTAAAAGATTGGTCTTTCCATAGATACTTTATTATGAGAGAACTGTGTGTGTTTATTTTTCTATTGGACTCTAAGGATACTTATTTGAGAACTTTACTAGGTAAGTTGTTCAAGGTCACACTGCTTATGAAGATATGTTTTTACCTAATTATAAGAAAGGAAAAAGTTCTTAACTTGTTTATTACTTAATTACAAGAAAATAAAATGTTGTCAACACAAGTCATGTTTCATATTTACAGCATCTGTGTGGTATTTTGAACAATGTTACTCAGTGACTTTTTATTGAATGAACACATATGAATTGGAGCTTGTCAGATAATAACCATTAGCTAAAGCCAAAATATATTTTTAAATCAAATTCAAATAAATCTTTTTTTTTTCTAGTGTTATAGTCAGGAACAAAATCCTTGGAATTCCAAGCCATAGTTAATTTCTAAAATTTACCTCTCACCTCAATACTAGCAACACTTATATATCAGCCTGTTTTGCATTGCAATAATCAAACTCATGAGACTGGATGATTGATAAAGAATAGAGGGTTATTTAGCTCACAGTTTTAGAACAACAACAAAAAATGCAAACAGCAGAGTGCTAGCTCTGGTAAGGGCTGCCTTGGCTCTATCACCTCATGACAGATGGCATCATGATGGCAGCAT